CCTTTCTACAATGCAAATAACTCTGTCTTTGTGCCATAAGCTTATAATGAGAGGCCGATGATGAAGTACAGTACACACAAGCTTTTCAAAAAAGCATCAGTGCTGCTCTGAGCATGGAAGGAATCATTATATGAATATTGAATTCCTAGTGTGTGTTCCCATCATGCTCAGAGAGCCTGTAGTTGTCATTATCAGATTTTGGTGACCTCAATTCTCTCCCTTTTTCACTGTTCTGACTTGGGAGAGCCTCTGAGACATGGGAATAAAGTCACAATGGAGCGCCATTGTCATAAGGAAGGGCAGGTGACTGTGAGTGTGGTGTGTGTGTGTGCTTGTACACACATGTGCATGCAAGCCTGTTTAATACTTAACCTATTTCTTCCTCAGTTTTATGTATTTTATGCAAAGAATTGCTGAATATTCATTGATCCATCTGGTACCCCACAAGTACGCTATTAGAAATGCATTACTTATCTATATTTTTGAAATGTTGAAATAATTCAGTGTTGATCCTTTGTGAGATAGGTTTGCTACCTTTAAACTGAAGTGACAATGACATCCAAGCAGGCTCAAGTTGTATTCATACCCTTGATGCCTCTAACAAACTGGAGCCTGCATGTGAGAATCCTGTATGTCACTATTAAATTGGAAAAGGCCTGAAATATCAAAACCTCACTTCTGGTGGGGAAAGACAGCGAGAAAAGAGCAAAGGAATGGTTATTCATGAATCCCTGACAGCCTGCCACCATGAATAACAGCGTCCTCGCTCTCCTCTTCTCAGGGCTCGTAATTTTTTTTTCCCCTGAAGGTGTTTTACCTACACAGGAAGAACTGGGCTGGCGCCATGTCTAGTAAAGATGATTTTTAAGGCCTCTTAAAACACACCAGCCCGTGCTCAGGTTACAAGCCTTTCTTTTTTGCATACAGCAACGTCCAATTCATCTCGGCTGCGGGATAAGATCGACCACAATGATTTGCCACGTTTGCCTGGGTATTGTGACAGTCTGGTGATATTAGGAGAACTCACTGATGAGGGAATGTCTTCCTAAAAATAGCAAGCAAAGGAGTCCCGCTTCAAGCTTTTGCAATCTTAAGCTGGGAGAGCCCATAGCATGGGTGCTATGGATAGTTGGAAAATGTGGGTGACTTTGCACATGAAAGGGTTGGGATGTCGTTTGAAAGAGAACACAATGTGTAGAAAATGACCAGGTAGAGTGCAGCTTCTGCTGCAACCATGTGATGATGTGCTGGCCAGCGGTTTTTGTTTGTTTGTTCCCTCTCTCTCCTTATGAAAGATATTTATAGACTCCTGGTTGCATTTGCTTCCGCTTTCCCACACAGTTATCTTCTTGGGCGTGGATTAAATGTAGATCTGGGTGTTGAAAGACATTTACATAAGTGCTGTTTGTGAACACCGAGGCCAGTACGTCTATTATCGCCAGAACATTTAAATCTTAATGACTGGCATTGTTGTCTAAAAGACGTTGTTTTTCCTGCTGAGAAACTGCATTAGATTCAAGAAAAGGAGCTCATTTCCATTCTCTCGGCAGTCTCTCTAGAAATGACATGCAGTGCTTGAAACTGTTTATTTCCAAATTCAGGCCTCCCTCGCATCAGTCATCAGCTTCAATTACCAGTTTTCCGGAGCCGAGCCATCAGGCAGTCTGACACCGGGGTCCGGCCTAATTCCCACCTTCTCCAGAGTCAAGAGCATAATGTGCGGATGAAAAGGTGCAAAATAGCCTGGACTTCATTAGCATGCAGGGCCTGGCTGTTCATTTGCTGGCTGCGAATGGAAGTTCTGACACTCGGAGCTTGCTGCAAAATGAGAAAAGTCCTCTTCAGGGGAGATGGGGTCCTTGGTGGTGAGAAAAGGTCATCAAAAAGCCAGTCGCTGCCCTTGCTCCCTGCTCTCCATGACTGCTTATTGATTCCAGGAACACCTCATTACACGCTGGATCAACATATTATTGCCATGTTCTGGGACTGAATTGTTTACAAGTGTCTTTATCGCCAGCAAAGGCCTGCCCAGAGATGCGTGACTACACTCATTTGGCTGTGACCCGCCAATTATGTGTTATCCGATATGTTGCTGGGTATCTTGATCTTTGCCCGGGTCTTCTCCTGGCATCAACACAGTCCCATTTACTACTTCTTTCTACCACTCTTTGGGAAAGTAGCCATTAGCCTGTCAGTGTGTGTGTGTGTGTGTGTGTGTGTGTGTGTGTGTGTGTGTTACCTCTACTGCAGGAAATAGAAACATCTTTGCTCAATGTCTTGCTGTATATGAGGACCACAGTAATTTTACAAAAAGAAATTCTCCTCTCTCTCTCTCTCTCTCTCTCTCTCTCTCTCTCTCTCTCTCTCTGTCCTCTCTGTCCCCTGCCCCCACTCCTCCCCCACCCCCTTTTATGGCATTCAGGAAACCCATACAATCTGCAATCAGTATGCATGGCAGAGAGTCTAATGCAGCCTGCTCCCAAGCTGCCTCTGCTTGCATATAGGCCCTACGAGAGAGCTGTCATATTTTATTTGGGCAGAGCCACTGCAAACCACTGCACAGGACCATTTTAATCTTTCATTACAGACACTTCTATGGCTCCATAAAAGGAAGAGTGGAATAGCAACTCGATTAAAAACTCAGTGAAGAGATTGTGCAAACCCTTTGCCTCCAAAAGTAGAGATAAAGCCATAGCTTCTGAGTGCATTCAGCAAGAACACTTGATTTCCCTTTCCTCCATTGGTGACTAAGGACAGAACTTCATAATCATGTTGAGAAGCGACAACTTTCTTTCATTTTTATGAATACTAGTTAGAGATTTAACGACTGCCAAGCACTTGGACCACCTCAAGCCAATAGTGCATAAGGGGCTGCTGCTCTTACATTTCTAACTGCTATCCAGAGCGGCTCTGAGTTTTTCACAGAAGCAACACAGGAAAGCAAACTCCAAGACATTTGTCTCTACTTTTCCTGGAAGTACCCGTCCTTGGAAATGGACACATGCAGTAATGATCAAAATGACACTCAAGAATATAACTACCCTCCGAAAGGTTACATCTCTGAGCGCATTCATTTCTTGCAGTTCTCCAGATAAGTGTGTTATTTATCTTTTTAAAATTAATGTTCTCCAGCCACTTTTCCCCCCTCTCCAATTTTTTGAGAGTTTTGTAAAGAGATGGAGTTCCTTTTGTCCTTTCTGAAATATCTCAGTCCTGGCTTTCTGACAAATGGCTAACTGAAAAGGACAAACAAAGGCACCCTCGTCAGAGTGCTTCAGGTAAATTGGAGTCAATGGAGAGATGTTTGCTTCGCTCGCCGGCATTTAAGCACACTGCAAATTCTGTAGTGCCATCAGCCAGCAAATAGCCTTTGGAAGAGGAGATGTTAGGAAGGATTACTCACAATGTGTTTCTGGAGGGATGATCGCACAGAGGAGGAGTTCGGTCCAGGGATAATGACGGAACAAGAGGGAGTGTTTGCAGAGGTTCCCAGTGAGGAGCAAACGCCAGTGTGGGAAGAACTCAGAGAATTACAAAAAATGGTGACTCAAAAGACAGGATTATCCACAGGGAAGGGTTTCTTTGATCATCTTAGAGGGTAATGAATGATGTAGCAGAAAGAGTGCTCGGTCATATGTAAGTGAATGTTCTAGGCAAAGGGGACAACTCCAAACTTATACCAGGTTTGTTATTTCGACCATAAAACAGAATTCTTTTCTGTTATGGTTTAAGTGTTTCGTCTGCTTTATGAATCCCCTCAAATTGGCACCAAAGTTTCTCCTCAAGTAACTGGATGGCCACTACGGCTGCCTGCTCTGGTTTTCTCTTCTATCTTTGGGAGCCTCGGGTATCTACTTACAATTCTACTGCTCAGACCTGTATGCACACAGACTGCAAGCACAGTAATGTAGTGAAACAATCAGAAAGTAACAAAAAAGACCCTCGCTTTCAAAGTCATTTATTAAATACAGCTTTGTGCCTAGAAACAGTGTATCTAGGTACATATTACTCTCAATGGTCCTGTGAGTTGAGTGTGGCTGCCCTCACTTTTCAGCTGAGGAAATGTCTTCACACGTCTAATAGAGGTTTTCCAATGTACTCAATATCACACAGCTAGAGACAGAGCAATTTAAACCTGGGTGTGACCCTTGCTAGACCCCATTCCATTCTACCTCCTTAGAGCAGAGACTCCTCTACAAACTTCCAAGAACCCCAAACAGCACATTTTCTGCACACCAGCTATGAGTGCACAAAATGGTGCTGGCTGTGCTGATGAGTCTTTGACTCAGCTGATATCCTTAGCCAGGGGATTAGCTGAAGCAATGCCTCTTTGGTTGATACAGTAAATTTTCAATATAAAATGATTGTTCAAGCCATTTACTTAGGAAGTAGGGTGGAATTAGCAGGAAGATCATGGTCAAGGAACTACATAAATATTCCCAATCCTAGTCAGTAGGATCAACTGAGGAGGTCTTGTCAGTCTTTGGTACTTTTGGTCATCCCAGTGGACTGCAGATCTTCCTTTGGTGATTGTACCAAAAAGAGGAGGAGGAGGGAAGGAAGGAAGGAAGGGAGAGAGAGAGAAAGGAAGGAAGGAAGGAAGGAAGGAAGGAAGGAAGGAAGGAAGGAAGGAAGGAAGGAAGGAAGGAAAGAAGGAAGAGTGTGTGAAAGAAAGAGGTGGGAGAGAAACCCTGCATACACCCTAGGGACATGATGTCCCATTTTCCCACAGACTTACTCTATCTTTGGAAACCTCATGATTAAGAGTTGAATCACAGCACAGGAGACTAGAGTCCAGAGACTTAAGGGATATCCATCAACTGACTGCCAAGCCACACAAAGTCTTCATTTGTTCTGAAATCTTCCCTAAGTTCTTATGTCTGTGTTTCTCTGCTTCCCATGGGCTTAGGTGCTACTTTCTACTGCCCAGGATAATAAATAATTTGGTATGTCTGCTGACCAGACTGAAATGAAGGGAGATGAGTCGTCCATGGGAATACCTCATTCTCAGTTCTCCATTCCTCAGCAGCAGCAACCTGTGATCTTCCAGAACATTGATTTGGCTCTATTTTCTTCTGGAAGAGAAAGAGAAACATTGTTCTCATCAGTTAATTAACACTAAGACACAGATATTTAAAGTTATACCCTCCCTGACCCATTTTTTTTTTTTTTCCGGAGACAGGATTTCTCTGTGTAGCTTTGGAGCCTGTCCTGAAACTCACTCTGTAGACCAGGCTGGCCTTGAACTCACAGAGATCTGTTTGCCTCTGTCTCCCAAGTGCTGAGATTAAAGGCATGTGACACCACTGTCAGGCACCCTGACCCAGTTTTCTCTCCAACAGTTATTTAAATATTTTAAAAGGCTAATGCTTGAGCAGGAGATAGAACATTATGGTGGGGCTGCTAGTATCTGGGAAGAAGTTTGGGCCTTCCAGGTGATCTGTTCTGTTCACAAGCATTTCTGCATGTAGATTTCTGTGTGTCATCCAGGTCTCATTTATGCCAGGAGGATTTTTAAAAATACCTAATTTTAGAATGTAGTTGAATACTCTAGAATAAGATACTAGAAATGAGTTTTACTGCTCTAGATGTTAATACACTCTCTCTGCCTGGCTCTCACGTTGTGTCCTTTGTATGTGTACAAATATTCACGAAGAATCCACCATGTGATTCTAACTGTTCAAAGTGTCCTTGGAACACTAACCTCCATTTTCTATCCTAGAAGATCAACTTACTTGTCACAACAAGTAAGTTGTGACAAAGAATTTCACAAGACAATAAATAATTAAGGAAGACTCAATAAGTACAGCTGATAAATACCCTTAACAGTTTGGGTGAAAACATGGGCTAGAAGACCTTCGTGGACTAGCATAATGGGAATGTCTTCCTTTATGATGCAGGATAGAAATGTGTCTTAGGGATTGGGATAAGTGGAAAGAGGGGTGCATGGGCAAGGTGGACAGTACCCAAATTCCTCCCATCTCATGAAATTCCTCTCATCAGGGAGTGGAGCCAATTGCTCTTTAATCTAGACCAACTTTTTGACTGTTTTGACCTAAAGAATGAGACCAGAGTAACATTTTCTGGACCTTGGACTGTCTGGGCCTTTAAAAGACCTTCATTTCCCACTGCCTTTCTCTTACAGTCTAGTTGCTGTGCAGGTGAGATGTCTCTGTTAGGCCATAGGATGATTAGAAGCCATATGAATATAGGCTCTGGGGAATGAGAGGTCATCTTGGAATTTCTACACAAACACCGACCCTCCTTGAAGAAATGCCCAGCAGGTTCTGCCTAGATTTCTGACCCACAGAAAGTATTACTTTAATCCATGAATTCACAGTGGTTGGTTAGAAAGCAATAGGCAAGTGATTCAGCATTAATAAAGGCAATTCAAGAGTAAGTAACTGATTTCCCATGAAAAAACAGAAGAAAAATAAGAACAAACTCATATGAGAAACTCTTAAGTTTGCAAACCAGTCCATCTGCAGGAGGCATTTCAGATTGGCAGCTAGAAGAATACATATTAATGTTGAACCCAAATAACTTTAATACAGGAAGTAGATCTTAAGAACATCTATCCAAAGTCCTCTGTGGTAGGTGCTATTCAGTGTCCTGTCTGTAGTCCTTCACTTTTCTACATTAGTGTGTAGCAGTTCAGTGGCCAACCACCAGCACCTTGGTTTCCCCTTCTGCTGCTAACCTTGTTGAGGAAGTCATGCTCACAAAGAATAGCCTTCAGCTAATGACAGAGGGTGACTGGAGCATACACACTCCAACTCATATGGACTCACAGTCTCCCTAGTCTTCCAAAGAATTAAAGTCTAGTTGCCCATAATTTGCTCTATAACACACTTTAATGGAATTCTCTCCTGATACCAGAAAGTTGCCTTTCTTCCCATGCTGTTTCTGGGCTCACCTTCTACAACAGTGCTTGCTTTTGAAGAAATCAGAACCAATATATTCTCATTCCCTGGTTAAGAAAACCAAAGCTAAGCTGGGCAGTGGTGGCACACACCTTTGATCCCAGCACTCGGGAGGCAGAGCCAGGCAGATCTCAGACGCCATGTTGGTGGGTCTGGTAGTATGTGGATCTCTCTCCCCTCATCACAGAGTTAGTAAAGCAGAACACACTCCTGAACTCCCTTTTGGGTCAGGTTTACTGGATCAGACTTTCAGAGCAACTCAAGCAACAAAGGAAACTCAAAGACGCCTATTACCCACGGCTCTTCCTTTTAAGCAGAACCATGTTGGCCTTGGCTCTTGGCATAGATTCTTTCAATGGTACTCCTTTACCAAGGAGCTCTATTGACTTATGCAGAACCTTTGCTAAGAAGTTTACAAAACTACAGTCACAGTGATGTGAAGGGAGCCCCTGAAGAGTAAAGCTGGATCTGCCTAACTACAATCCTGGCCAGGATAGAATGGGAAAGAACCAGGGATCTAACAGACATCCTTGGTGACCAGAAACTTTTTATAATCATCTCTGGAGAACCCAGGCTTGCTTCTGTAGTTTCCAAACATCCAAGGCCCACAAAGATACAACCTTTTGAACCAGTATCACAGGTGGAGAATTTATGTAGCTAACACAGTTCATTTAAGTATGAAAATAGGAGAAAATGAGAACAGACCACTTTAGTTAGGTGATCCTGTTCGTAGCTTTTCTGTATGTCTACATTTTTCAAATTCAAAGTTTTATAAATTTTGAATGTTAAGCTGACCAGATATATAAAAATTATATTTACTCATGTCAACAGAAGTATTTAGAAGAATATGTTTATAAGAAGAATTTCATGATTATACACTATTTGTAGCTTTAAAAAAAAGAAAGAAAGAAAGAAATCCTAGTCGAGTGTATCTTAAAGATCCTAGGTTTGCTTCCCAGGACTGGGGGGCGGGGGACATCTTTTATCTAAATAAAGAGCACACTGAATCTTTAAACCATCATTCGGCCTCCTGGCCATTAAATTTTCCCCAAGACATACTCATGTATTTCCTTTTCCAACTTTGGTAAGAAATTATCAAATTTGTGCTTTTTAAATTTTTTTTAAACTATACTCATTCACTCATTCATTCATTTAGAGAAAGAGACAAGGAGAGCATGTGTGCCATGGCATTTGTGTGGAGGTCAGAGGACAATTTGTGGGAGTCAATTCTCTCTTTCTCTCACCTGTGGTTTGGGGATTGGAACTCAGGTGGTCAGACTTGGTGGCAAGTGCCTTTATCTGCTGAGCTATCTTGTGAACCCCAAGAGTTTTCTCCTTTAAGTCACCAAATATCACTCATTACAATAGCCCCAATATTTTCAAGTACTCATGAACATGAGGAGGAAGAGTTACCTCTGACTGGAACTCTACGGAGGAAATTGGTTACCTGCAAACAGACTGGACCGAGTTCTGGTTCTGCTCAAACCTCCCTCCAAAGATACAGCTAAATCAGCAGACAGTTGGCAACGTGCGTTTCATCACCTAAGAGCCAAGCATTTATGAGGACAAGCCTTCCAAACTCATTAACTTCAGTGGTGTCCAGAAAGCTTTTCTGAACAGGATTTCATTAGTAGGAAAAGAATCCCAACTTTTCATGTTTTATGTCTTTACTTACAGAGTCAAAAATATAATCAGTCATCTGCCTTCTTATTTACTAACCATTTTTCTGCCCACACTGCTTTAAAAAAAATTGTCAAACGCATGTAAGAAAAATAAATATGGAGTTTAAAAGAATCCAAAGTGGGTAGGTTGTGAGCATAAAAATGAGTAGCATCAGAGCTGGAGATTAAGCAGTTGAATATGTTGGTATTTAAAATTAGAATGGCTCCCCAAAGAATTGGTAATGCTCCATTTAAGAAAAGAAATGTTTTCAAATCACTCTGGGTGACTAGAGAAGTCTGAATCAAAGTCAGAAATTAATAAAAAGACATAGGCAGATACCCTCCAATTATAAATAACAGTGATGATTTGTATGTATATAAAAGCCTGCAAGACCCCACTGTGTATCTACAGTTCTGTAGAGAAACCTAATGTAAAAAAAAAAAAAATGTTTAAAATAGAAATAAATGTGCCTAGTAGATATACTATTGTCCTATTTGTGTGACACAATGACTTGTTTTCTGGAAAAGTAATTCTTCAATGGAGCCCAGGCAAGCATTGTATTCATTGTAAAGTTGTATATTTAGACCTATAGCCTGAAGGGTTTGCCTGCCTTTAAAGCTCAATGCTACCAGGGGCTCGTTAGAGCAGAAGGATAAAGTCTATCATATTACTGCCTCAGAACTTCTGGGTAGTTTTCAGTGGCTTCAAGTACTTAGATTGTCAGCAGTGTGGGAAATAGAAAGTGGAATACTGAATGTATGAGGTGTGTACATCAAACATATGGAAATGTATAGACAAAGATAAAGACTCTTGTGGAACACCCTGTTAGATTGAAGTCACTGCAGAACAATTCCAGGGTAAATACAGATTCGCAGTAAACAGCTGCAATGCACAGGTTGCAGGAATTAGAGCAGTCTGAGTCTCATTCAAGATCAAATGGTTCCTTTCTAGACTTTGTATCAGGAAGAGGCTTTGCTAAGGGTGGCAGGAAGATAATAGGACATAATGACAGCCATGACATCTTCAGTGTAACAGTGAGGGGTTAGTGTCTAAATTCAGGCCGGGTTTGACATAGGACAGCATCATCTTATTATGGCTGTTTCTCTAGCTGGGCCAACTCGAAGCTTTGCCGGGGGGCCCTCTCCATCTGTCTTGTACATACCTGGGCTTTATGAGAAGCTGTTTTCATGATACTGGGGAGTGAATCATGGTGGGAAGGAGGGGGTGTGTCCAAAGAGGAGCATAGGGACAAATCCATCAAAGCCTAGAGGAGCCAACATAACTTACTGACTTTCCAGTCCTCAAACTTTGGTATGCATTTTTAAAATAAATAACACTTGTCTGTAGACAGAAAAATAAAAGATACCAGGAGCAACATAGTGGAAAATTAGTCTCCATCTGCTCCTCCCGACACCTTGGTTTTCTAGTCCATCATCCCCCCAAATCCTTGAGTATTTTTTTAATGTACAAGTCCAGTCATTCACTTGTAAAAAGGTTAAACAAAGCATCCTGCACCTCTCTTCCGTCTCCCCAACACACCATCTTTCCTACACACACAGTATGTCTTCACTCTAAACCACCCCCTAGCCTGTTTATTTATCACAGGCAGAGTCTCTAATAGACGACCTGCCCTAACCCTGAACACCCAGGCTGTGTCTTTTTTTTTTTTTTTTTTTTTTTGAGGGTTAGGATTATTACTCAATGATAATGACTTATTTTACACATTGTCTTCTGCTGATGTTTAAAAGATGGGACATTTGTCCTGGCGGGAGCCTGAGCCCCTCCGAGGACTTCAGGAGACCCTGCCAAAACGTTTCCAAACTGAATAGTCATTGGGCAGCCAGATAATTCAGAAACTATTTGTATGAGCTGTTTATCAAATTATTAACCGCACAGATGTTGTTTGGTTGAAGAGCAGCTGAATCCCCTCTCCGGCAGCCGCGGAGACAAAGGTCTTCAGGAATAATTGGAGATGTGCACGGAATATTAAATTAATTTACTGCTCTTAATTCTTATGCAAATTCTGACCTCTGATGGCGCCTATCAATTACCCCGCGCTCAGTGAAAGCGAAGGCGACAGTTTCTTTTCTTTACTTTGCTTTTTTTTTTCTTTTAAGAACTCGAAAAAGGAAATATTTGCAATAAGCAAACCGTAGGAGCTCTGCGTAGCTAGAATTGTTTAATTGAATCTCCAAGTTTTAGGGATGTCTGTGGAGGATAAAAACCCCAGGGCGCAGAGGAGGGGTGCGGGGGGGGGGGCGGAGGAATTTGGAAGTTTGGTTACACCTCTGCCAGAGGTTCAGAAAAATACAGCACCAGTACTGTCAAATAAAATGTGAATTTGCAGACTGACCAGAGCCTTAGCGCTAGCGTCCCGGCGGGCCTTGGTGGTGGATGGCAAGGCAGGGACAGAACAGCGCCGTTCTGCAAATCCACACAGTATCCAGCGCCTAGGCGCCTTTGCGTGGGTGTTTGCCGGACCGCTGCCTGCACCGGCTGTGGTTCCCTTTACTGTTTAATTGTTTTCTCTTACTGCCCTCAATCAAAAACACTTTAAAAAATTGTTTGAGAACCCAGACCTCTACGAGACACTCCCACATTCAACTCCACTGAAATCCCGGGTGGGCCGAAATAAGATGTAATTGTTTCCTGCGTGGACACCCAACTCGTTTCCCTGAATTGAGCAAATGCCAGGGCTTTGTCTGCTCCCGTGGCTTAAACGCTGTGTGGTTTCTGCGCCCCGGTGGTGGGCTGTAAAGACTGGGATCTCCAAGTCTTTCATCATCGTTCTAATAAGGAAAACCAAATCGGGCGCATAATGTCATCAGCCCTGGCCCGACCTTGCGGGGACCTCCGCAGCCCGAAGATGTCGCCAGCGGCCCCCCGGCGCAGCCACGACGCGTCGCCTTTCAGCTCCTAGCGGTCCCCACAAAAGCCAGACAACAATATCAATTAATCATGCAGCGGGCAAACAAGGAGATTTATCCCGCGACAAACAGCCCCACGGAGAGCCGTTGAATGGGCGTGATTAGCATGTGAAAAGACGAGCAAAACTCCGTGGTTCAACAGCTAAAGAGCAATTTGATGGGACTGGGATGGGGAAATTACTTGATTAGCGTCCGTCGGAGGAGAGCACGGTTACAGCCCCTCGGCCTGGAATCCAACTGCGGGACAAAACGCGCTGGTAAATGCTGCGACTTGGAGGGACAACGCGCGAGTGAGGGTGGCACGGGGACCGGCCCTGACACGCGAACGACCGCGCCGGCCGGGGGGGGGGGGCGGCGGTAATAGTGGGCAAAGGGGCTGACCTACTTAGCCACTCCCCAAAGCAACTGGAGCCGCGACAGCTGTCCCACTGCCCTCACCTAGGCTCGCAGGCCTGGACGGGGCGGACGCGACTTCCCCAGCTGGTGTCGCAGGTCGACCCTAATTCACATTCTCTGGACTCCGGCGTGGGAGGAGAGTGTCAAAGGCATGTGTGGAGAGAAAGGTCCTTCCACATCCTCCTGGGAGTCTCCTCCGGGTGCCCCGGGGAGCAGTCCGATGCCCAGCAGCCTGTGCCAGCACGCAGCTGTTCCAACACAAGCTCTGAGGTTCGGTTTGCACAGGCAGTGAACTTTGGATCGCCTTAAGACCGCTTTTCCTGAACCTCGGAATTTAATCGCTGTGTTTCAGCCTCTCTTAGGAAAACTGTCCTTGTGGCCTTAGCACTTGGGGGAAAAAAATGTTCTTAGGTTGTGTAGTCCACCCGGAAGAGATGGGGAGTTGAAAGGGGTTACTCCAATTGATGATGGCCGGCCAGGAGGCTATTGGGGTGGCCGAAGTGAGGCGCCAGGGGCCTGCACGACCGTCTTAGTGTTAACGATGGTATAGAGCAGGTGCCAGAACTCTCCCTGGGATCGATTGGTCAGTCCCAGGCCTGCCTTGGATCCGGATACCGCAAGGCCAGATCTGGTGGCGTGGGAAACTGAGCCCCACGGTTTTCTTCCCAGTTCCAGAAGGCAGCATCCAAGGCTAATTGCCCAGATTTTTATTTGGGTACCTTGGGCCTCCTGGGTAGACTTTTATTGATGAGCAAGAAAAGTGACCTGACAGAATGCTATGGAGAAGGGTTCTCAGGACATGGCCAAGTGCAGAATGAGAGCACAGTGAAATCCTCTGCTCTCCCAACAACCCAGCTTATGAATCTTAGGTAGACAGCCCACGTTTTCCCAGTTACCACCAACCCTGCCCCAAGCGCCTGCCCAACAGGGAGGAACTAAATACTCCTGAACAGTCCCTAAGGGCCCACAACTCCCTTCTCCCTGGCTCCTCCCATTTCCACCAAAAAGGCTCTCCAGCAGGTCACTAAGGGCCTTTTCTAACTGGCCTGCAAAAGGCTCCTTCTTGCTCCTGCGGGTAATGGGGGTGCATCAGGGAGAGCTCCGGGATCCTGCCTTCAGTTTATCTAGGAGAGAGAAAAAAAAAAAATCGAATCCACCTTCCTGAGGTATATAAACACAAAACTAACAAAGAAAGACTCCAAAGGACAGATTTGCCAAAACTGTGTGTGTCTTAAACACACTCTGTCCCCTGGCATGAAGGAGCCAAGAACCAAGGACCCAATTTTTATAAGCGCATGGGGTGGGGATGGATCACCCCCACCAGCAGAACAATTGCCACTCAGTTGAACAGTGTCCATTAAACCATAGCAAAATGGTCAACTTCAGAGGACTTAATATTTCCTGAAATGTCTGGGGTGGTGCGTGCGCAGCGAACTGACGTTCTCTGCGGGCTTCTGGTCTTCTCGGCTCTCCCACTCCTCCGCTAGGCGCTGATGCCCCAATGCAGCTTCCCCCTCTGCCATCTAGGCGGACTCTTGGGGCCGTGGATGCCCAACTGGCTCTAACTGCGAGGGAAGGAGGGGCAGTGCTAGAGGACGTGCGGTTGTACCCGCGGTACCCTCAGTGGTGGCCCTTGGCTCTGGGAATGAGAGACCCGGGGAACCGGAAAGGCGCAAGCGGGGTAGTTAAAGCCCAGACCTGCAACAGTTCTCAAGCACGCTAACCATGCAAGGCAACCTAGCAGGATGTACAGAACTCGTTGTCGTCTGCACCACATCATCTTCCTCTGATGAACACTAATGCACTTTGTGGTTCGAAGCGCTTCCTGGGTGACTGAAACTGTGCATTTTAATTCCAAAGTCAAGTGGAGGAGCCATCTCAAATTTGGGCGTGGGGGGTGGGGCGGGGGAGCACGGTGTCGACTGTTCAGGGTTGGCTTTATAGTTATTTTTGTAACTTCTGCCCGGCACCCACAGTATTGGCCTGAAAAGCAAAAGAGGCCATTGCAATTTATTCCAATGGGCGGTTTTTAAGAAGCTGGCAATTTGAACCGGCTGGGTGTTATTTAGTGCAATATGAAATCAAATGATCCTATTTCTCAAATAACAGTGTCTGCGAGGAGAAGTGAATCCTCTGAAAGGGTAATTGTCTGCTGATGGTGTTTTCCATTATACCCGATCTTGGCCTAAATGATGTTGGGCAGCAGGGCGGAGAGTGCGGGGTGAAATCAATGCACACCGACTCGCGCTCCGGTGGAAGAAAAGGTCCCTCTAGATCGCTTACCTGCCAGTCCTGCGGAACAATGCCGCGGAATGCACCACCGATTTGGACGGCTGTTCTGCAGATCTCAAACTGTAGATCTCAAACATCATCAAACTGAAGTGATCTTGGGGATAAGAGAATAAAACTAACTCTCCTTTCGAAACTTTAGGAATCCTTAGTATCTCGGCATCATTGAGTCAGCAGATAACCTGGGAAATAAAACCCAGTTTGGCCATGTTTCCACCGCCCTGCCCCAAGTTAATATTGAAAACATTGAGTAGTTCTTTCCAAGGCAGGTTCTGTCTAGGGCTCTAGGCCTCTCCCTGCTGAGTCTCCCCCAGCCCACATTAGTTTCTGGGAAAGGCCTGGCTTCCACCAGGCACTGGCTTAGTTACTCAGTAGCGGGCAATAGTCTTGTAGGTAGAGAAAGGCGGGCACCGGACTTTAGAAATTATTCTCTGTAGGTCCCAGCCATTGTTTCCCATAAAACCTGGTATAGGATTAACTGAAAAAACAAACAAACAAAAACAAAAACAAAAACAAAAACAAACACCAACACGAAACAAATGGAAGGAAGGGGTTCAGGAACTGGAACAAAATTGACAGGCTGGAAACTACTTGTTGGCCTTAGGGTGTGTCAGTACCCCAGAGTCAAACAAAGGCAACATTCTGGCCCTGCCTGTCTTATCTACTGAGGCAACAGCATTGACCGTAAACCCTCCTTAATTATTGTGAATACACCTTGAGGGGAGTGGCCTCTTTAGAGCCTGAGCCAGGGCAGAAGAAGGAGCGGCCTTGGAAGGAAGATGAATCTAGGTTTTAAGCTACTTAAGCCCAAGGACCAAAGCAGCTTCCTGGCTTCCCCTTCCACCCCTCCCCCCTTCGGAATTTTTCTTCCCTAAGGAAGAATATCCTGAAATTGTGTCAAAGTCTGCATCTGTTAACTTGGAGGCATTTCAGACCAACTCTCTTAACACCAGTGCAGAGGGCTTGCCTCTGCTCCAGATGAGTAGGTTTCTTTTCATTTTCTTTAAGTATATATAATGTGTTGTATAAACATGTGCACGCACAATAAGAGAGACGTACATGTACATACATGCATATGCACACTTTTCTATATTGTGACTTCTATTTACAGGCGCGTTTAGTTATTAGTGATTTTCTCCCCTCCTTGGTGCTATTTTCAAATGCTCAAAGAAATTAGGTGTGGGGGTGGTGGTGTAATTTTTCTATATCCAAGGAGCTGCCCTAGAAAGCTTCCGATTTTTTTTCCCTGAAAAGGAGAAAGGAGAAAGATGCAGCCACCGCATCTGAGGCCCAAAGCACCGGGACAGCAACGTGCTATTCCAGTATCTCGCCCTTCTCCAGGCTTGAATGAAAGGAGCTATCTTGGTTTCCACCTGCGGTTCCCCCCACCCCACCCCCGATACCATTTCTGGGCTGAAAATTCGGCATAGTTAGAGGCCCTCGGCCGCTCTGGACACAGTGCTTTAATTTTTACCTTTCTACTTTGGAGCTTAACAAATCTCTGGGGTGCAGTTTCTTAGGGTCTGCTCCAGGGCAGCCTGCCCACCGCTGGCTGAATAGTAAAGCCTAAAATATGATGATAAAATGTCCCACCGGCTGCCTCTCAGGACCCCTCTGAGGCTGCTGTCCCCAGCGCGGACACACAGCTGGGCTGCCTTGCAAAGGCCACTAGCTACCTGCCTTCCCAGGCGGAACTGTGTAGCTGCAAGCTGGGCCGAGGGACAGCCCCCGCTCGCCCTTTTACTTAGCGCCGCGGCTCTGCGCTCGCTCTTCTCCGGAGGTAAGTGGTAGCCACACCCGAATCTCAGCTGAACCTCTTTAAAAAAAAAAAAAAACCGAAGGAGCTCATTTCCCCCACGATTTCGGCTCCGTTTCCCCAAACAATTAGAAACCCCCAGTCATAGTTTTGCTGGAGTCTCTGCCCGTCCCTACACCTCGGTACGTTGGAGCGGTTGCGCACACCTTCCGGATTGAACACCGGGCTGATGATAACCCCACTCGGCACTGGACTGGGCCAGGGTCTATGGGCTCAGGAAGAGTGGCTTTGGGTGCTCCCACCCGATGGTCACCTGGCCTGTGTACAGGAAAAGCAAAAGTCCAAGTGCGTGGGGGCCGGGGCAGGTGGAGACCCAGAGCTCCAGGCCCCGCGTCCCTTCTTTCCAGGGACGTTGTAGCCCCAGAAATACCCTAGACTGCTGCAAAGGGAAGGAGATTTAAGATCTGACAGTCCTCTGCCTAAGGCTGCTTTCCTGCAACCAGCTGCTTTGCCGTGGGAAGAGTGGGCGGCTTTGACCTACGCTGTAGAGTGTCCACAACTCCCCTCCCCATGGCAAGCGACCCCTTCCCCCACCTGAGTTCCTCCTCCCTCCCCTCCCTAAACCCCACTGACCTTGAGAAGGCGCCGACCCACGGTGGCGGAGCCACACCAGGCGATGTTCGAAGCAGGAGTGGACGGCTCGAGCGCTGCCAGTACTCCGCTGGCTGATCCGTGTCCCCCACCGCGGTCGGGAGTGTGCGGAGCTCCCCTCCCCCACGCCTTATAATTTAATCACATGAGATATTAAATGATCAAGCCGCTCATTAATCATCACTCGAGTTATTGGGATTGAGCACGGCGCCTTGTGTTTTGACAGCCCAGAATGGTTCACCCGGCTCCTGGTGCGTCTGGGCTTGGGGGATGGGGACTCTCTAGCCACTCTTAAGAAACACACGAGCCCCACGCGGGCTGTTGGGACCTCTTGCCTAGGAAAAGATTTGGGAAGGCGCAGTCCCAGCTTTATAGTTCAGCTGAGAGTTTGTCGGACGCCCAACCGCATCCTTCGCAGCCCCTTTTCTTGAAATTTAGATTTTAATCTGGGTGATTCATGTAGACGACAGTCGACTTTAATCAACAGTATCCTCATTTGCAGTTTTTCAGAAGGATGAATTTGACTGAATTCCAGCGTCTTCTTCACTCATTGTGGGATGGTGTGAAGTTGAGGTATTTGAAATACATATGGAGCCATATCAGTGAAGACATTTCCAAGGTTGGCTTCCGTAACTCCAGTGCTATGACGCTGTCTTGTTTTTCTGCACACTACAAATGCAAATAAAGGGGAAAATATTAAATATTTTCCGTTAAATACCTATTTGGAGGTTTCATCTTAAAAACATAAAGTCATCTTATTTTCATGCCCCCCCCTTTCCTATTTTTACTAACTGGATCTTTTTTAAAAAAATGAATAAGCCAATCATCGTTACATTATGATTTAATTATACACACAAGAAACAAGTGCCTATTAAAAGTTGTTTTGGTGCAAAGCAATGTGGCCAGCCCTCAGCATCTAGGCTTATACACCCACAGAAAGAACAATATACTGTACAGAAAGAAAGTCATCCCCACCTTGGGAAAGGATGACTGGGATACCAAACTGTCAGCCAAAATATATATTTTAAATTATCTGTTCTGAAACCCACATTTAGAAGAAATCTAACCCTCATATCCAGCTTCTCTGGCTCAGCCTAAGCTAAGGCCAGAGTGCCAGGAGGGGCCAGTTTCTCTAGGAGGAGGCTACGGCGAAGCTCAGTTATCAGTTAAAGTTTTCTGAGCAAATCTCAGATCCAGCCAATTTATTTTCTCTTCAAAAATATAAAATAGGCCAGATGTTGTGGTGCTTGCCAGTAATCCATACCTGGGAGGTAGAGACAAAAGAATCAGGAGGTCAAGGTCATTCTTAGCTGAAAAGCTAGTTTGAGGTCAACATGACTTTCAGAAGACCTTCTCTCAAACAAATAAAAAATACCTAAAATACATCAATAAATAGAAATATAAAATAAAACAAACACCAAACAAGAATATGCTCAAAATCCTTAGAAGCTAAATTACATTTAATTTGCCTACCAGAACATGAAGCCAATTTAGTAAGCAAATAAATATATAAATCCTGATCCTATGGTTCCATTTTATCACAGAATATCATCAACAATATTAAATGTGTCTAAGACTATTCATGAGCTATTTTCTCTTCTGTTAGTCCGTTGTTTGCATTTTTCTACCCTGCTCACTAGCACACAAAGAGATAGGTATCAAAACTCAACACACACACACACACACACACACACACACACACACGCACTGCTAGGTGAAATTCATAAATCCTACAGAAGCTAGTGCAAGGGAGAAAAAAAAACATAATATGGTATGAGTTTTTTTTCATAAGCCAGTGGAGAAAAAAATATCTTGACTATCTTTATCCAGGCAGTGATGCCTGCGGGTTCTGCAATGACAGGGACATGTGTTGTCAGGGACTAAGAGATCACTTTGTATCCCGGGAGTTAAAGTGGACAAATGCCCATATCAGAAGACTTTGTTCTAAACCCGGAGACTTTGAACATAACCTGAATTAGCGAACTTGATATTATCCTCTTCTGAAATGTGGATTGAAGAATTATACTACATAAAAAGCTTTCAAAACAACGAAAACGCAAAGTTTAGTTGACTAGAAGCCTAAACATGGGGGAAAATAATTCTATTTATTTGTTTGTATTGTCATTTGGTGTGTGGGGGGATTTTTGTTGGTGGAGCTGTTTGTCACGTTTTTTACTTATGCGAGACAAAGCTGGCTTAGAATTAATGATTCTTCTGCCTCTCTAGTCCTGGAATTAAAAGCCAGTGCCACCATGCCAGCTTATATTGCTGTTTTTGTACACATTACCAACTGTTCCTGGAATGCGGGAGGTGTGTATGGGGAATACAGGCTTAACACAGGGACTTGGTGCTTGTTCCTAGCTCACAGCCAAAGCAGAAATCACTCCTATTTCTCACTTCCTAGCCCAGTGCTCTTGTTTAAGAAAGCGAGTTGTTGTACATTTCAAATCAGTTCTGTTTTGTAAAGCTCTCCATCCCCTACTTCTGTTTTCTGAACCTTTTTCAGAATGTTCAGAAGTCAGTTATGGAAAAGCACACAGAACATGCTCAGTCTCTAGGAAATGCTAGAGCAGTACGTCAACGTTCTCTATAATCCAGTTCCTTCTCCAGGATCACCATGCTAAGCTTCTCTCTGCTTCTTATTCTAAGTTCATCCCATATACATAAGTCTGAGGAAGAGAACTGCAAAGAGTGTCACAGGAGTGCAAACATCCTAAGGCTGGACCAAGACTTAGGCTCAGGTTAGTACTTCCGGCATGTGTCCAAAGTCCTCCACTATCTAGCTTTTAAGTGTGTCCACTAAGTTCCTCAACCAAAATCTTGGGTGTAGAGGACACCTGGGTGGTTTTTTTCTGGTTAAAGCAATAGATTACAGAAACCTCATAATAAGTCTTCCTAAAAATATTTATTTTTATCTTCTGTGTCTGTGTGTTTTGCCTGCATGAATGTATGGACATCATGTGCCTAGTGAGGCCAGAAGAGGGTCGTGGATCCCTTAGAACTGGAGTTACAAATGATTGTCAGCTTCTATATGGGTGTCAGGGACAGAACCCTGGTCTTCCACAAGCACAGAAAGTGCTTTTAACTGCTGAGCTGTCTTTCTAGTTCCCGTAAGTTTTGAAAAAAATCTTAGTCCTTTGGATTTCTTCTTTTTTAAAGTTTGTTTTGTGAGTTCTTGTTTGTTTGTTTCTTTTCTAGGGCTCTGCATTTCTATATGAATGTTATAATCATTTTGTCAATATCTCAAAAAACAAACCCTGCTGGGAATTTTATTAGGATTTCATTGAGTATATAGTTTAATCTGAGAACTGCTCCCTCAGCCATGTTACATGTCCTGATCAGCATTTTCCTCAGTTTACTTACAAATTCTTTAACTTCTCTCTGCAATACTCACAGTTTTCACATTTTTACATTTTACACCAGGTTTATCCTGAGATAGCTCACATTTTTAAATGCTATCGTATCCACCCCATCTAGTGTTGCTGTAACAGACTATTAGAGGCCGAGTAGTTTATAAACAAAAGAATTTTATTGGACTCATGGATTCTAGAGGCTGGAAAACCAAGAGTAAATGGCTGTGTCTGATGAGGGCCTCGTGTTCGTGGTGACAGAGCAGAGGACAAGCAGGTGTGCTAAGGGGACAGCGCAGAGTGGTGTGACAACCCACTGTCAAGGTCATCTTCTAATGCCAATCATTTCCTGAAGGTGGTACAGTCTCTCAACACTGGTACACTGGGGAGCGAAACGACAATATGAGTTTGGGAGGTTTTGCAAACCAGCGCATACTGTAAGTGTGGTGACGACCAGTTTTGACTGTCAAGGTCATTGGATTGAGAGGCCTCTGAGAGGTTAGCAAAGCTTGCTACTGGACTTAGCTGCGAGAGCAGTTCCAGAGAAGAACGACTATGGGAGGAAGACCCGATAGGCTAAGCGCCAAGATGGAATAAAAGGTGAAGGAAGAATCCCACTAGCATATCTCCTCTGCTTCCATGAGGCAAGCTGTTCCGAAACTGTGAACCAAAATACATCTATCTGTCTTCCTTTTGAACTGTCTCAGGTATCTGTTAGGGAGATGAAAACTTGACTAACACAGTGGTATTTAAAACATTCAGCCTGCCCCGCCCCCCCTTATTTCTTGCTGTTATATATAAATACAATTGTTTCTGTGTATTGCTCTTTCATCTCTCCATCTTCTCAGCAAGTTAGGAGAAGAAACCAGAATGAGATTGCTTGGTTTTCATTTTCCCCCATACATCTGTAGTTTAATTTTTAAAATTTTATTTACTGTGTGTGTGTGTGTGTGCGTGCGCGCATGCACACCACAGCACTCATGCAGAGGTTAGAGGGCAACTTCTGGAGTTGGTCTCCCCACAGTACGTTCCTGGGATCAAACTCGGGTCACGAGGCTTGCCTGGCCCAGCCCTTTCACTCACTGGCCCTGGAAATGTAATGTAGGTTGCTATGGGTTATCCTTGATTTCTCTCTCTCCAATGAGACTTTAACAAGAGTGTAAGGAAAGAAATACAGACTGTGTGGTGCTTGTAGCTCTAAGTGTGAGGTCCTATATGCTAAGAATGCAGCCAGTGGGCGAACCGTAGAAAGCACCATGTCCATATTAGTGTTCTTTGGCTCCTATTCTAAGCTCTCTATGGAAACTTACTTTGTGCCTAGGGCTAAGCACTCTTTGGGCCAAGTACTAAAAAGTCTTTATTTGTTGATCTATCATGAAGTGCTTCGTTAAGGACATAAAGGCTAACTTGTGAGCTAGTGTGTATGCTGTTCTTAACCAGCAGAGGCTGTCATTGCCCATCTGCTCTTGGTCCACCCTGGAGATTTCATTCCTAGTTTCTGTGTGACCTGGGTCATCCTGCACCTCTGTCCTTGACGGTGTTCCTGGAGAGGGATGGCTTTCAGAATACACAGAAAAATGGAAACACTTGAAAGCTGCCTCAGTCCAGACAGGCTGATACAAGACGGTGCAGTTTGGGTACGTTACCAATACCAGGAACTTGTTTCATAGTTCTGGAGGCTGGGAGGCCTGCAAATTTGGTTCCTTGAGACAGGTCTCTGCTTCATGGATGATGCCTTCTTGGTATTTCTTCACAAGGAGAAAAGGCAAACAGGGCAAATGGCACAAGAGCTCTTTTAGAAGGGCCTTAATCCTGTTCACAAGAGGTCTGCCCCCATAACCTAGTAATTTCCAAAGGCCCCGTCTCTTGACACCAAAGTTTTTGTTGGAGACCATATTCCTTTCTGCTATGTATCCTAGACTGGCCTTGAAGTCATTCTGTAGCCCAGGCTAGCCTCATACTCACAGCAATACATACTCCTGTCTTGGCTTCTTGAGGGCGGGGTTGATAGACATACACTACCTACCCCACATGCAGTGTTGTGCTGAAGACTGTATTTCAACCTGTAAGCTTTGGAGAGACACAAGTGAAAAAGACCATAGCTGGAGAAAATTCCCAGGAGCAAAGGAGTCAGTGAGTAATGAGGGTGGGTAGGTAGACTGAAAAGCTTGCTCAGAGTTGGGTGTGTAGCTCAGTGACAGAGCATATGCTTAACATGCACAGGACCTGGATTCGATCCCCAGCACCAAAAACAGAAACAAAGGAAGCAAGAGCCTACTTCCTCAATCTCCAGTCAAGATGATTCGGTTTGGTTGTACC